TCCCTGCTTTTTCTCCATGCTACTTAACTTCTAACATATTGTATACCTTACTAATTTCGTCTTTTGTTTCTCTCTACTAAAATATAAGCTCCATGAAGACAGAGTTTTCGGTACATGTTTATTGAGAAATTGTTGTAAAAGCAAAGAATTTGAAAATAGTCTCTTTTCTCACAGCATTTTAAAGCTATAGCTGAAGAAAACTGTCTGATTAGGGAATTGAATAGATAGATTGTAGTACATCCATTCAGTGAAATACACAATGGAATATCGTTTGGCCTTATTTTGCTCTGATACAGAGAAATACCAATGACATGTTGTTACATGGAAAAAGGAAATTGCAGAACCATCTACTCTTGATTTTTGTAAAAAGAGAACAAAAAACTTTTAAGAAGCCAGTGGTTTTTAAACTTAAATATTAGTTTAGATCTGGAGGCTGCTGAGATGTCATGTCATTTTTTTCTGTTCCTGTGGTATGCAAGGACCATTAGGCCTTCTAACACCAAGTAACTATAAATACTTGGCCATAACTTGGGTCCAGTTTCTTCTTCACAAATACACACAGGAAGACTGCATGGCAGTATATTTTACTTATAAAATATTTTGGTCCTGTTATATCATATGCTACTTTGGTGGTTAATGAGTATAACCATTTTACTGATCAGGGGGAAAAGAAAAGGCACGTTGTATTATTTGCTAGGGCTGCCATAGCAAAGTGCCACAGACTGGGTGGCTTAAGCAACAGAAATTTATTTTTTCACACTCTGGAAGCTAGAAGTTGGAGATCAAATTGTCAGCAGAGTTGATTTCTTTTAGACCCTTTCTCCTTGGCTGTCTCCTCCCTGTGTCTTCACATGGTCTTCCCTCTGTATGTGTCTAGGTCCTAATTTCCTCTTCTTATAAGGATTCCAGTCATACTGGATTAGGGTTCACCCTAATGACCTCATTTTAACTTCTCTTTTTTATGACCATATCTGCAAATATAGTCACATGATCTGAGGCACTTAGAGGTTAGGACTTAAAACATATGAATTTTGGGGGAACACAATTCAGCCCATGTCACCCCTTATGCTCGGAACTCTTTTGCTTCAGAGAGAGTGAGTGATGCTAGGACCACTGAAATTTCAGCCTTTTGATTCAGGTCCATCCCGTGCCCCTCCTAGGTGAGCCTGCCCACAGCAGAGATTGACTGCAGCCTGGCAGAGTACATAGACATGATCTGTGGTAAGCGCTTCCATCCCTTCCTTGACCCCCATCTCTGGATAAATTCATTGTGGGCTGTTGAAAAGGCTGGTTTACTCTGAGTTACAGCCTTTACTTTAAGCCCGTTGTGCTATTTGGCAGCACGCGAGGGTGGTATTTGGGTTTATGTGACTACCTGCTGGGTATTTAACCCCTAGAGGTATAGTAACACATCCCGTCTGGGAGGGGACTGGCCATCCTAAACAGAAATGCCCCATAGCTTCCGGATTTTTGTTTATTTCTGCTCACGGGAGTTCTCGATTTCAGCCATCCTAGACATCCCCATCTACAAGAGTCGGATTCAGTCCCTCCACCTGCTCTTTTCCCTCTACTCAGAATTCAAGAACTCACAGGTAAGACGAGCATTGGAGATTGACTTAAGCTGTAGTGAGGACTGCTGCTGTCGCCACTGACTTAAGCTGTAGTGATGATTGCTGCTGTCGCCACTATTTTGAGTCTGCTGTGATTCTGTCCTGTGACAATGGAGAATGTCTCTGCCTGGAGTTACCATCACCCTTCCCCATAACGAAGGGAACTGCAAAGCAGGCAGGGGTGGGGCTTGTAAAGGAAGGGGAAGTAGAAGCAATGTGGGCCTTAGACAAGGATCTACAGTGGACACTCATTCTTACAGGAGAACCAAGTGGCCTAATGAATGGAAGCAGGAAGCAGGGTTAGTTCTTGCTAAAATGTAGTAACTAGTACGTCCCCAGTCCTTCACGTTCCCTCTCTCTCCTCACAGCATTTTAAAGCTCTAGCTGAAGGCAAGAAAGCACTCACCCCTCCGTCCAACCCCACCTCCCAAGCAGGAGATGTAGAGACATTAACCTTCAGCTGAGACGCCTCCCATGTCACTCTGCTTCAAGGCTGAGCTGGCTTCTCTGCCCCATCTGAGAAGGAGGGATCACCGTCAGCCACTGGGTGGCCTTGCCTGCCTCACAGCTTGATTCGGAGACAGCGCACGACTTACTGCCCTCTCTGCCAGAAAGCACTGCCCATGGTCGTTAAATGGCTAATGCCTGTGTCAGAGTTCCTTCCCATGGAAATTAATTATGCATCTACACTACTGTGGGGATGTGAGTTAGAATCACTGGAATTCCTGGGATCCCAGGATGCTCAGGTTGGGAGGAAGGCTTAAAAGATTTCTTTTGAGATAGCAATAGAATTATTTACTTTCATTCTTAAAGTTAATTGGCAAAGATTTTACAAATAAAATGCTCTTATCTCTCAGGTTATCCTGCTGTCCTTGAAATACGAAAGAGAGAAGACAGACTGAGCATAGGCAGAGATAAGGAACTTGGCCTAGGAATAGGCACTAAGTGAATAGCAGTTTAAGCAAATCAACTTTGTGAAATAAAATCAAACCCCAGTCCTCCAAGGTTGGCAATAGAGGGGAAACTTTTTTCTCCCAGAACTTATTTTTTCTGGGGGTCTCCCACCAGGTAGTGCTACCTGCCTTACAGGCTACCTGCCTGTCTAGCTCCAGACCTGTCTGGTTGTGGTCTCAGGGAGCCTAGCTGTTGCAGTCACCCAGGTGAGAGATGATGGTGTCTTGGACTGGGTGGTAGTGGTAGAGATGGACAGATGCAGGAAATATTTTGGAGGTTTTATCAGCTAAACCATACTAGTTTTATCAGTCAGAAACCATACTAGTTATTTCTAACAAAGGATGTTAACTTAAGTATGGGCAGTTGGTTACAAAAGTGTTGGAAGGGCTGAAGAAACGAAAGGGAGAATGGAGAGTGCTGAAGGAACAAGAGGCTAAAGGGGAGTGTCCACTGCAGGGGCTGGAAACAGAAGAGCTGCCGCAGTGGCCGGGATGGCCAAGCAGGTCCGAGACCCTCTACAGCCACCCTGGGCAAGCGCTGCTGCCTCCTCTCTCCCACCCTCTCCTAGCTTGCTGGTGCCTCCCACTGGCAGAAATTAACAGCTGGCAAGGGAATCTGGAAAATCGAGCAGCATAAAGTATAGAAGGGAAGGTGTGGGGTACGAGACAACAGATAAGCAACCAGGAGAGGTGGAACCAACAGAACTTAGTGATAGAGTGAATGTGGGGGAGGGAAGAGAAGAAAGGGTGACTCCCAGGTTTTCTGGCTTGAGCAGCTGGGCGGGTAATGGAGCCAAGTACTGATATACGGGGCAAGAACTGATCGGAGGGGAAAATTACAGTTAAGATGCTACAGCCTAATACATACCCGAGAAACACGAGACAGGAGGGGCATCGTTTCCCACAGACCCTTAAGCCGACTCTGATGTTCATCTCATGCTTGAACTTGAGCAGGAACATCTGAGCTCAGGCCTCACTTTGACACCATGTTGGGACCAGGTGCTCTGCTCTCAGATGGATGCCATTAATGCTCACATTTCACTCAAGGAAAAAGAGAGGCAAAAACGAGATAGGAACTCAGATTCTCCATCAGGTTTTCAAGGAACAATCAGACTGCCTTCTTTGGCTAGAACTGAGACTCAGCACTAGTAGGTATAGTCGACTCTCGTTATTCACAGTAGCTATGTTCTATCAAGTCACCGCAGACACAATTAGCAAATACTGAACCACTGCTCGTGGGGGAAATATAAGGTAAGGTTCCTGTGTGCCTCTGTCATAACACCGTCGTCAACAACCATTGATTCATTGAACTCACAGCCACCAGCACTGTAAGTCATGCCATAATGAAGCTTATTTAATGCACTCTCTCTGTAAGGCACATGACAGCCTTACTACACTTAGTTAACTCTAGCCAGCACCTCAGCACTATGCGGGTGGGGGCCATTTAATTTATTTATTTTCAAATATTTATTGTATTTATTTGGCTGCACCGTGTCTTAGCTGTGGCACGGGGGATCTTTTTTTTTTTTTTTTTTTAGTTGTGGCATGTGGGATCTAGTTCCCTGACCAGGGATCGAACCCAGGCCCCCTGCATTGGGAGCATGGAGTCTTAGCCACTGGACCATCAGGGAAGTCCAGGGGGGCCATTTTAAACACTGAAACCACCACCAACAAGCAAGAAATGAGGCATTAGATACACCTTGGATAGGGCACTCATTTAGAGTGTGAGAGCTGAAACCAGGAGGCAGGATGTCGCCTTGTTCAGCCTCAGCTGGGAAGGTACGTGTCGGGCGACTCACATTTTTCACTGCTCTAAGCATGTTTGCAAACGATTGTAAAAACACTGCAAGTATCGATTTTAGGATTACAGATACATTTTAGTAAGTGAATTCGCAAATACAGAATCTGCAAATAATGAGGATCAGCTGTACTTCCTGCCTAAGTTACTGGCTGAGGCGCAGGCCTGTAATGTTAGCCTGTCTCCCTACCCTAGCACATCCACTGACCTGTCCAGTGAGCACTTCAGACACTGTTTCTATCGTGGGCTCCTCCTCCTTCACAATCTGAGGTTACTCTCTTTTGGCTACTTGATCTGTGGCCCTAGAAAAATAACTTCTATGCCTCAGTTACTCTAGCTATGAAACAGTTATAATAAACACTAACTCCTAGGCTTGTCCTATGGGTAAAAATATGTGAAAAGATTAAATGCCACAAAATGTAAGATCTAATAATTAATTATGTTACTAAGTACAAATTTTTCACTTGGCCTTTTAGACTTTCCATTTGGCTATTCTCTCCCTGCCCGAGATTCTCATTTTTCTAATTCCCCAGCGAAAACGGCAAAACCAGCCTGCTTGCCATGCTCTACACATGATTCATGAGTTCCCTCTTCTAACTAAACCTTTATGCAGTCTATTTTCCTGGCTTGAAGTGTCCCTCCCCTCTGCCATCCCAGGCTCTCTACATTTCTAAATAAACAAAACTTGAACACAAGTATTTACATTTGCATACCCTCCTTTAACCTTCCTAAAATGACAGTATAGGAATTTTTTTTTTAAGGTATAAACCAGCAAGGACAGATAATAGGAAAGAAAATGACTGTAGACCAGAGAGCAATACAATTTTGAAAGATGGACAAGTGGTAACAGATTTAGTGGGCAGGGGGAGGGGAAAAAACCTGATACTTGATTTCCAGTAGAGGAGAGGGACAGAGAAACCAATAAGAAGTAAAGCCATTTGACACTGCAGAATCCTGGAAAGGATCAGGAATCGAAAGTGTCAGATATTTCTGATGGCATGTGTACAGGGAGGGGCTGCAGACAGGAGGATTGGCTGAAGGTTTGCAGAAAGATGGGATCCCCAGAACCTTCCCTATCTGTGCTGCCCACCTCCTTAAACTGGCAGAAGATAGTCCCCTTTAAACCAAGGCGCCTCTGGACATGAGAACACCAAGCAATTCTGAGGAAGGACAGGAATAAGGGGCCATATTTAAAATAAGAGGACAAAATAGAGGGATGAGCAATGAGACCCTCAGCCCTCTTCTGGCTCATCCCTCCAAAGCACAATATCGGAGGGGTCCTCCCTTGGGAAACTGATCAACCAAAGAGAAAAGACCTAAAGATATTGACAGGGAGTCTTCAAGCTTATAGACTTATTTGGTCCCCCCTACCTACCATCAACTTCCATTCAGCTTGCGGCTATCTCATTCTTGTGCGTGTGTGTGTGTGTGTGTGTGTGTGTGCGTGCGCGCGCGCAGGCATGCTTGCAACTCTCATTCTTAAATGTGAATGTACCATCACCAGGCATTTGAAGAAAGCCAGAAAAAGACAAAAACAGAACAAAGGATATCAGAGAAGCAAAGCAGGGAAGATATGAAAAAAAATTTTTTAACTATAATATTCATAGAGCAGTAGTTCTCAAGTTTGGTTGCATGTTAGAATCAACTGGAGATATATATATATATATATAAAATTATTATTTTTTAATATTTATTTATTTGGTGCACTGGGTCTTAGTTGCAGCACGTGGGATCTTTAGTTGCGGCATGTGAACTCTTAGTTGCGGCATGTGGGATCTAGTTCCCTGACCAGGGGTCGAACCCAGGCCCCCGGAATTGGGAGTGCAGAGTTTTAGCCACTGGACCATCAGGGAAGTCCCAACTGGAGATTTTTTTTTTTTTTTTTTTGCGGTACGTGGGCCTCTCACTGTTGTGGCCTCTCCCGTTGCGGAGCACAGGCTCCGGACGCGCAGGCTCAGCGGCCACGGCCCACGGGCCCAGCTGCTCCACAGCACGTGGGATCCTTCCAGACCGGGGCACAAAGCTGTGTCCCCTGCATCGGCAGGTGGACTCTCAACCACTGCACCACCAGGGAAGCCCTGGAGATATTTTAAATATAAGTTTTCTCTCCCAGACAACACACCAGACTAATGAAATCACAATCTCTGGAGGTAGGATATAAGAATCCGTATTTTTTAACTTCCTCAGATTATTTCAATATGCAGACAAATTTGAGAACCACTGTCAGAGATGAGAAGATTCCATATCCATGAAACATTGGGCTGGCCAAAAAGTTCATTCGGTTAGTGAATACATTGTTCAATAAAATTCTTGGTGAAGATGAAAAATATGTGGGACTTCCTGGTGGCGCAGTGGTTAAGAATCTGCCTGCCAATGCAGGGGACCTGGGTTCAAGCCCTGGGCCAGGAAGATCCCACATGCTAAGGAGCAACAAAGGCCGTGCACCACAACTACTGAGCCTGAGCTCTGTAGCCTGCAAGCCACAACTACTGAGCCCATGTGCCACAACTACTGAAGCCCATGTGCCTAGAGCCCGTGCTCCACAACGAGAATCCACCGCAATGAGAAGCCTGCATACCACAACGAAGAGTAGCCCCCGCCCGCTGCAAGTACAGAAAGCCCACGCGCAGCAACGAAGACCCAACACAGCCAAAAATAAATACATACCTACATTTATTTTTAAATAAATACATACATGGGCTTCCCTGGTGGTGCAGTGGTTGAGAGTCTGCCTGCCGATGCAGGGGACATGGGTTCATGCCCCGGTCCAGGAAGATCCCACGTGCCGCGGAGCGGCTGGGCCAGTGAGCCATGGCCGCTGAGCCTGCGCGTCTGGGGCCTGTGCTCCGCAACGGGAGAGGCCCCAGCAGTGAGAGGCCCACATACCGCAAAAACAAAACAAAAAACAAAAAAAAAACAGAAAAACATACATTTATTTTAAAATAAATAAATAATTAATTAAAAAAATAAAAAGGTAAATAACAAAGTAATTTCTCAGACCACAATGGAATGACATTAGAAAACAATAAGGAGAACTGAAAAATTTTGTGTAAATTAAACAATACTCTCAACCAATGGGGCAAAGAAGAAATCACAAGGAAAATTAGAAAATACATAGAGATAAATGAAAACAAAAACACAGCATTCCAAAACTTATGGGATACAGCAAAAGCAGTGCTCAGAGGCAATTTATAGCTGTAATTGCTTCCATTAAAAAAGAAGGAAGATCTCAAATAAGCAATCTGACTTTACAACCTGAGGAACTAGGAAAAGAACAAACTAAACCCAAAGCTAGCGGAAGGGGGACTTCCCTGGCAGTCCAGTGGTTAAGACTCCGTGCTTCCAACGCAGGGGGCGTGGGTTCGATCCCTGGTCAGGGAACTAAGATCCTACTTGCCACACGGCGCAGCCAAAAAAAAAAAAAAAAAAAAAAACGCTAGCAGGAAGAAGCAAATGATAAAGATTAGAGCAGAGATAAATGAAATAGGGAATAGAAAAACAATAGAGAAAATCAACAAAACCAAAAGTTGGTTCTTCAAAAAGATTAACAGAATTGAAAAGCCTTTAACCAATTGTCTAAGAAAGAGAGACTCAAATAACTCCAGCCAGAAATGGAAGTGGGGACATTACTATCAATCCTACAGAAGTGAAAAGGAGCAGAGGGTACTATGAACAGTTGTATGCCAACAAACTGGACAGCCTAGATGAAATGGACAAATTCCTAGAAACACAAAACTTACCAATACTGAAAAAGAAAATTTGTAAGACCTATAATTAGAAGATTGAATCAGTAATCAAAATTTTTTTAAAAATCAAAGTAAAATACACAAAACATGAAATTTACCATTTTAACTATTTTTAAGTGTACAATCCAGGGGCATTCACATTGTTGGGCAACCATCACCACTGTCCAGCTTATGAACTTTTTCATCATCCCCAACTGAAACAATGGACCCATTAAACAATGATTCCTTCCTTTCCCTCCCTCAGTCCCCAGTAACTTCTATTTTCTGTCTCTGTGGATTTGCCTAGTCCAGGTACCACATAAGTTGAATCATACACAATTTGTCCTTTTGTATCTGGTTTACTGCACGTAGCATAATGTTTTCAAGGTTCATCCATGTTGCAGCATGTGTCAGAATGGCCTTCCTTTTTAAAAAGCTGAATAATATTGCATCGTGTGTATATACCACATTTCCTTTATCCATTCATCTGTTAATGGACATTTGCATTTCCACCTTTTGGCTGCTGCAGATAACACTGCTGTTAATATTGGTGTACAAATAACTGTTAGAGTCCCTGCTTTCAGTTCTTTGGGGAATAAACCTAGAAGTGGAATTGCTGGATCTATAGGGTAATTCTATATTTAACTTTTTTTTTTTTTTTTTTTTTTTTTTTTTTGG